AGGCCCCTCGTCAGGGTCGCTGGTCAGAGGAAACAGCCTGGTTGGCGTGCAGATGGGGCCGCAGTGCACGGGGCTCCCTGATGGCCACGCGTGTGGGAATGAGCTTGAACGCAGCTCACCGGGGAGGGCCAGCAGGACGGCAGGGCTGGTGCCCAGCGTCAGGGCGGAATGTTCCAGGCATCTGGAGAAGGGTGGCCCAGCGAGGCCTCCATGGCACGTACAGAACTGGGTGGCGTCCTACAGGGCAGTGAAACCACAGCCTGTGGAGGTGTCTTTTCTACAAGAATCATTTGCAACCAGACAAGATACCCGCGGGGAGTCCTCCCTACTCCCAGGTCTGAATCTTCAGTGAGCAGTGAGTCAAATGAAGGCACGCTATCCTACATAATCAAATAATCTTGGGCTGCTAAACAGCGCTGTATTAGGACATAGAAAGGACACTGTGCCCTCTCTATGCCAAATTGGAAAATTTCGGTGCTTTTGCTAACAATACCATGCATCGAGAACAAAAATAACAGAGGGGCAGAAGTGCCGAGGAACCGACCAGGTCTGAGGGAGAGGGCTCACCAGGCAGGGGGTCGGGTTCACGAGCCGGGCTGGAGCCGGGCCGGGCAGGGGCCCAGGGCAGTGGTGAGCACATCGTGGGGGCTCTGGCCAACGAGGAGGTTCCTGAGGCCAGAATGGGGCAGCTGTCCTGAGGAGGGGGAGGGCAGTGCCTGGAGCCGGGGGTCGTGGGGTCGGGAGGTGGGGCCCGGTGCCCTGGTCTGTGTTCGTGGCCGCAGTGAGGTGAGGTCTGCCTCCGACCGGTGGGCCGCAGAGGGGGTCTGTGTGGCGTGGGCTTCTTCCTTGAGGGGACCGTCCGGGAGAGTGCCGGCAGGAGGAGAGGGGCCGGTGTGAGGGTCTGGAGGTGGAGGCACCCAGGTGACGCCGGAACCGAGAGGAGGCCATGGTCTGGGTGTGGCCCTGGAGAGAGAGAGGCCGTGCCTTGCTGGGGGCAGAGGCTGGCGCGAAGGGAGGGCTGGAAGGGATTCCTTTGGAAAGGGTGGAGATGAAGGGCAGGGGTGGGGAGGGAGAGGGGAAATGCAGAGGTGACCTTTGGGGAACCTGTCCTAAGTGGACGGCCTCCAGCAGCCGGGACGGGGCACGCTGGAGCCCAGTAAGGAGCAAGAGGGAGAGAAGCACCGAGTCGGGAGGCCCCGGAACACCAGGGTCGGGGGTGGGCGCCAGCCGCGAGGGGGCTTCCCGAACTCTCGGGTGGTGGCTCCTGACCGCCTAAGGTTCCCGCTGCCTCCCCACATGCGGCCACTCGGCACCACCCACGTGCACGTTGGCCACGACTGAGGAGTACAGCCGGGAGACCCATGCAGGCGGAACTTGGCAAGCCTCTCTCCCCGGACGAGAGCCGGACTTCCATAGCCCGGGTTCCAGTAAGCACGCGGTAGTCTCCAGGGATTGACAGAGTGGCTGTGGGCCCTTCTTCACTCTCTGCTGCTAAGTGACACCTCCCAGGGGTGAGGGAACCCTTAAAGGTGATCAGGAGATAGTTCCAGACGTCATCCGGTGAAAGTGGAAATTGGCCGCTGTGGCATTCTGTAGTTTCCGGCCTCACCGGAGGGCCTGCCTCTGGGAAGCTGCCTCCCTGGACCACATCACGGAGCCCCGGCTAAGTGACAAAGGACTCTGGTCTGCAGACCCCAGTTCGCGGGGGGACCACCGTGACCCCGACAGGCGTCTCTGGCTCCAAAGGTGACCTCCGAGGTCTCTGACGCGAGCCCCGTTAGGTGTCCACACGTCTGGCTGCAGCAGGGCCTTTGGTGGGTGGGGGGGAGACATTCAGAATGGCAACGCAAGGTCCCGGGAGCTTCTGTGTCCCACTCTCCACTAACTCAGTCAGCCAAAAGATCGGTCTTGTCTACTGTGCTAAATTCTACCAGAAAATGAGCTTGCTCTTTGTAGATGCGCTATTTGGCTTGCCAGGCGCTAGGTGGGCTCCTTTACGATCGAGGCTGTGCTGAGGCTTGGGGTGCACCCTCACCTCCACACAGCGGCTGTTGGCCCCCCGTCCTGCCCCCCACCCCACCCCCGAGCGCGCGGGGCTCCGCGCCCCTCGGTTGCGGTTGGACGGCTCCGTGGATGGTGGATAGCTGCACCAAAGGAACTTGGCATGTGTGGCCATCGGCTGTCCCTGTTCAGAGCCCAGTAGAACAAACTAATTGCCAGGAGCCCAGAGCAGGAGGTGGTCAATACGATGTATTGTAGAAATAAATGCCTGTCAACTGCCAGGCAATTGAAGTATAATTAAAATTATGAGTAATTTACTAAATTAGAGCGAAGAGAACAAAGAGACTCCGTTTAAATATAGATTTGCATTCCAAATGAAACGTTTCACCTGTAAACCCTTTTCTTCCCCCAGTAATTTGTTTAAAAATGCGAACGCCGCCTGTAATTTCAAGGCTGCTGACCCACTTGAGTGGCCCCTGTGTCGAATCTGTCAGGTTTCATTTTTCCTGGTAGGATAATCGATCTCTGCCTTTCATGGGGTCCAGTGCTGTTTGAAATCTAAGGATTTGAGCGTCTATTCTAGACAGCGATGGTATTGTGTCCACACCGAGTGCAGCTCATCATAGACACGCTTCTGAATCGGTCGCAGCACTCAGGCTGGCTGTTCTGAAACTTCCGGGGGCTCCTGCAGTCTGTCACTCAAATGCGGTTGGCTTTGTGTGGCCGCAGACTTCTCTACGTGGAGGTCGAGGCCATTTTTGAGCAGAAAAACACCCTCTTAGGCCATAGATCATATCGTGCACGTTGGACTCAACACAGGGTGAACTCGGTGCCGGAACAGGCGCCTTCCTAAGAGGACGGTGAGCCCGCCTGGACAGCGGGCAGTGGGGCCTCCTCAGGACGTATCTTGGCTTTGTTCCTTTTCTCCATCACCTGCAGAGGACCGGTTCCTGCATAGGGTGCTGAGCACTCAGGGGTGGACAAGACCCAGTCAAGACCTCGAGGACCTTCTGTTTACCGGGCTGAGCCCTATGATGCATCCGTGGGAAGACGTGGAGGGGGGCAATCGGCCCTCGTCGGGGGGCCGGGAGGGGGCTTCTGGCTGTGTCTTGCAGGATGAACGCTCCCTGGCCCCGACCCCAGGTAGAAGGCAGAGGGATGGGCATCCGGGCGTCTCGCACAGACAGAGCAGAGGCTCAGGGGTGTGACAGCCACCGGGACTCAGCACCAGGCTTCAAAGGGAGGCGTGTGGGAACCAGGTTTTCTAGGGCCTCCTGGGCCCAAGCGTCTCCCAGACAGGCGGCCAGTCCAGGGTGAAACTAACCATCGATGGGGTCATCTGGGACGTCAGCAAACCCCGCTCGCTCCCACAGGCACGGAGCGAGCACCTGCTGTGACCAGAGCCTGCCACAGGTGCAGCGGGGAAATAGAAAGGAAAAGACGCAGACGTGGCCTTGCCTCCAGTCCGCATGGAATTGCAAACTACAGGCATGGTGTGGTCAGGGCCGAGGGCTGGAAAAGCAGGTCTGTGGCTGAAAGGGAACCTTCTGGCCAGAGTCACAGGAGGCTCTACACAGTCTTGCCAGGCTTCCACCTGCTAGGGATATGGGACTGAGCCTGGGAGGTTGAGCACCTGGCCCAGGCCCACACTGCTAGGAGCCAAGACTCCATTCCAGAGCCTGAACTCAGCCCATGGCTTCTGGAACTTTCTGTGTGTCGCATGGAGCTGCCCTACAGATGCCTCCCAGGACATCCAGAGTCGTAGAGGCCTCTTTCACAAATGACAGATGGGTTTACTCCAGACTCCTGGAATAGAAAATGTGGTTAAACCCATTTCAGCATCCCGTGTGGCAGACCCCGGAGTCTCCATGGAGCCTGCCCTTTGTGGGGCCAGGACCTGTTGCAGCCTTAAGGAGGCCACCCTCCGGGCTGCACGGTCACCTGTCCCCTCCCCAAGCCCAGATGGCTCCTGCAGGGAGGGCTGCGCCAGGGCATTTCGGGAGCAGCCGCCATTGAGTCTGTTGCCACACGTGGGTCCTGCCCGGTCACGGGTAGCGGCTGTGCCTGTGGGACGTGGGCTTGGCTCCCTCTCCTCGCACCTGGAGACCACCCTCTCCTCCTCGGCTAGAAATGCTCGTGTGCCCAGGATGAGTGGCCTCGGCCCTTCCTCTCCTCCCTCCAGCCCGGGATGTGTGTGGACACAGATGCCGTGGGCGGGGTATTTGCTGCCTGTTGGAGAACCCCATTTGGGCCCCAGGGAGGACACTTATTTTCCCGAACTCCCAACTTCCTGCTCGTTGATAATTGTGGCAAGTGAAAGCCAGTCTCCCTAAACCCCGGCTTCTCTCTCCATGAAAAGCGAATTACCCTCAAGCAATTGTGCCTCTGGCCTGTGCACCTGCACAGTCAGGTCCTGGGGCCTTTGCAGCCTTCCTGCAGAGGTCAGAGGTCAGATTACCCCTGCAGCTGTCAGCTGTCACTGTCACACTGAGGCTTTGAGGGAGGCAGCCTGCATGTGAATTAACGCGAGCTTTTCTCGTGTTCAAAAACATCCTGAATATACCGGGCACGCCGTGTCCCTCTGGTACAGGCCTGCGTGTATGCCGTGGCTGGCTACATCATTATGAGTTACGTGAGCTATGCCGTTGGAGAGTCTGGACAACAGGATACTGCATCTTCCAAATCTGCCTGGTTTCTTTGGGTTGTGGGTAGCAAGGGTTGAAATAGAACAGGATTATCAGAGCATCCGAATCCCTCTGGTCCCTGGGTTCAGACAGTAAGAATTGCATTGAGAGAGTTCGGGGGCAAGGATGTGCTAATGTCCTGTGGCTGCCGCAACATGTTACTCCACCCCGCATGCTTCGAATGACAGAAACGAATTCTCACACGGTTCTGAAGACCAGAGGGCCAAAGCCAAGGCGTCAGCTTCCTTCCTGGCTTCCGGTTGCTGCCGACACCTCTGGCGGTCCTTAGCTTGTAGATGCACCAACGCGTTTCTGGATCCAATTCCGAAGCGTGTGTGTGGAGGCTTCCCCACGTCATCAAGCAATTCTCCAACACCGGCAGGGTGTCTGGAATTGAACTTGATTCTACCTGGAGAGAGCATCAGGTCCCACGAGATAAGGGCTCGGTCGCACAAGGCTGTCCCCCGCTTCCGAGGCCAGTCACGAGTGCCAGGTGATCGTCTGTGCTTCTGACCGGTCGGCTTTCAGTCAGGTTCCCACAGCCCTCTCCTCGGGTTTGACTAGAGCAGCTCCCAGAACTCAGAGGAGCATTTTACTTACGAGCTGCCAGTTTATTGTGAAAGGGTAGAGCTCAGGAACAGCCAGGTGGGAGAGGTGCCAAGGGCCAGGTGTGGGGGAGGGCACGGAGCTCCCAGGCTCTCTCCACATGCTCCCCCTCCCCAAATCTTAGCATGTTTACTGACTCAGGAGCTCTCGGAACCCCATCTTCTAGGGTTTTATGGAGGCTTCGTTACATAGTCGCCATTGGTGACTGATTGAACCTCCGGTCCCTCTCCCTTCCCCAGAAGTCGGGGGGAAAGGTCCCCCCTGCTCCCCCCGGAAAGTTCCCACCCTCTGATCACACTTCCCTGGGTGAGGTCCAAGTGTCACCTCATTCACATGACAAACGACACCTCTGTCGCTCTGGACAAAGACATGTATATGAGAAGCAGATTTTGTCCTTCTGAAGGAACAAATATTTTTCTTGAGGGTCACAATATCACAGCACACTACTCCGGTCTCTGCTTCCTTGCACACACGAGGCTCTCCCTGTGTGTCCAAATTTCTCTCCTCTTATAAGGACCTTTGTGTCATCTCAGTATTTATCAAATGATTGCCGGATTCTAAATTGCTTCCTAAAATATGCTTTGTCTTCAACTTTACCGAGTAGATAATGTTGAACGCTCAGGCTCCCTGTGTGAATTAACCATCGTAATACCTGTTCATCAGTCCAAAGTGCACGATTACATCTGCAAGCAGTTTTGCTGCCAGTGACCTTCAGCCTTGAAGGTCGTCTTGTTGTCTTTGGGTGTCACTGAAAAGACCCAGAGATACTTTGTTTTGGGGTTTGGGGGGACTGGTAGCCTTAGCTTGTATCTGTAGGACTCAGGACTACATATCTGCAAACATTTATGTAGGGTAGATTTCTAAGAGCGTAATCGCTGGATTAAAAAGCAAGTGCATTGAAAACTTTGATAAATAAAGCCAAATTGCCCTCCAAAAAAGAAACCAGTCATTGGATTGGGGCCCTCCCTACTACAATATGACCTTCTCTTACCTTCACCGTCTTCAGAGACCCTATTTCCAAAGAAAGCGGCATCCACAGGTAATGGGGGTTAGGATACCAACGTGTCTTTCTGGGGGCCAGAGTTCAACCCACCACAACAATGGGGTTTTCTTACAACAAAGCTGTGGCCTCTACTCTGGGACCAGGACAGTGTTTCCTGAGGCGCTGGTGACATCTTATAGACAGTGCCTGTGTAGGGGTCATGGGGAATCGCCCTGTGTCCCTGTCCCCAGACAGACTTCGTGACCCTGCAGCCAGGGGTCCTGGGGTGCCCTTTGTCCGTCTGTCTGGCCACAGCTTGGGTCGTTCTTGTCCTTATCTGCTGAGTATCCCAGAGGAAACACCAGAAGCAGAGCCCCTGTCCCCCTGGCTGGCATGTGGCTGCTACAGCCGTCCCCATACACGTTAATCGACAGAAATTGATGGGAGGGAGAATGTGGGCTGGGCCTTGGCTGAGAAGCGGATCCCAGTGCGGGTGAAATTCTGAGCCCAGGGCCTGTCTTACCGCCATTCATATTCCACGGGGTGTCTGAAGGGCGATGGGCACCCAGCCTACCCTGGGCCCGTCACATGCCAGCAGACGCTGGGGGGGGGAACGCCCAGGGGCTCCAGCTTAGGTCTGAGTCAGGGCAGAGTGGGGCTGACCTGGCATGCAGAGCAGCCTGTGGTGGGGGGCAGTGAGGCTGCCACAGCCCAGGTGGCCATCAGGGACAGGGTGGGGTCAGCCCGTGGATGAGGCAGAGCCGGGCTGCATGCATAGTTCTCATGAGTCCCGGGTTCACCAGGCAACGGGCAGCTCCCTCGCCCCTCTGCGACCTGGGCGTGGTCCCCTGCCCACGGGGGCTCCTACAGGCTGCACGCGGGTCACGAGGCCCGGTGCCCACACACCAACACCAGAAAACCTGGGCCCTCAGAGAAGGCTCCACAGCCTGGCCCTCTGCCTCAGAGCCCCCTGTGCTCCTCTGCGTGAATGTGGCACTGCCCTTTTGTTCGTAAATAACCAAGAGCCGCCTGTTTGAATCAGTGACGCCCCCCCAACCCAGTGCTGTTGGCTGACTCAACTTGAAGCAGAGGTCGCCAGACCCCTCCGGTGGGCTGACCGTGATGTATTTGCAGCCTCCGAGAGACGAGAGCCTGAACGGCCTCCTCCAGGGATACCGGATCTACTACCGGGAGCTGGAGTCCGAGGCCTCCTCAGCCACGGCCTCCAAGACGCTCAAAACGCCCTCGGCTCTACGGGCCGAGCTCACAGGTGAGACGCTTTCCCCTTCCCGGAGGAGGCACCGCCGCGTGCTCCCAGGCGGGCAGCGAGGGCCCCGGGAGACCAGTGTGCATGTTTCTGCATGCAAGGCATGGTGGGAAATGCCCTGAAGGGCCAGGGGAGATGCCGCTTGCCTCCGGTGAACGCAGCCACTGGGGCGGACGGGTCCCTGCAGCAGCCCCGGCATGCAGAGAGGTGTTGGCCTGTGGAAAACACGGGGTGGGGGGGACGGGGGTAACCGGGGAGGCTTCGCAGAGCAGGAGTCCCGGGAGATAGGTTGCCCCGGAGACGGATTTCACCGAGGACACCAGGGAAGGCGTGACTCACAAGGGTCTCTGCAAAGCTAAATGGTCAGGAGGCGGGAAGAGCTGAGGGGCTCCTGGACGGCCTCACCCAAGCCCCTGGTGCGTCAGGCTGGTGGGGTGTGGCCGGGAGGGAGGAGACCTGCCGGGCCCTCTGGGGGTATCGCGCCGCTGGCCGCCGCCCGATGGGGTCCAGTCAGGGGGCTCCCCGGCCTCGGTGCACGCACAGCCCTTGAATGGAGTGGCGCCTCCTCTCTCCCGGGGACCATCCGCCTGCTCACCCCTGCTCCCGGTACCCCTGGCTCGGGCTAGGACTTGGATGCAACAGCGGCAGAGGCAGCTTCTGGAACTTCTGGAAAGCCGCTGCTCTCTCCCATCCTCCTCTCTCAGAAGGGGGTCAGAAGGCGTCCCCCAGATGGTGTCCCAGAAGGTACTTCTGGCCCCTCAACCTCCTTGTGGCTTCAGAGCGTGCCGCTCGGGGACCACATGCCCGCTGTCTGCCACCGACCACCAAGGGGTCGCAGGGCCGCGGACCCACAGCGGCTCGAGGCTGCCCGCCCCAGGCGTGGTGCTGACAGGAAGAAGTGACATTTGTTGCCCAGGCTCTTGGCCACTCCGCCCCCACCCCACAGGTGTTCCCTGCTGATGGCCAGACAGCGTCCCCCCCGGGCTTTGTAGCAGATTCGAAACAACAAAATAAAAGGAGCCAGGATGTGGTTGGGTCCTTGGTTTGTGCTCTTGGTTTGTGGCTTGCCGGCCCGCATCAGAGCGGGGCTCTTACCTGAGCACAGGCAGGCCGACAGCCGTACCTGCCGCGGGGCGTCTGGAAGAGTCGGCACCCTGGGTGGAGCCCGTCTCCCGTCTCCTCTAGTGTTGTTTGTGCTGTTGTGACAGATTCTAATCCGATGCGTTTAATCAGAGGGTAAGCGCAGGCCCTACCTGTCACGGGCCGGGCGCCTGGCTGTCGCAGGAAGAAGTGCAGGCCACTCCCCCCCACCCCGCCCCCTGCCCTGGTGAGCCCCGAGGAAGTGCTCAGGCGCGGCGTGGTCTCTGTGGCCCTTGGACGGGCAGCGTGGGAGGCACAGCGGCTGCCGAGCGAGGTGCCGTCCCCTCCGTCTCCGCGGCCCATCGTTTGCAATAACCGCTCCCCGTGTGCTAACTGCCTTTCTGCCTTGCTCGCCCCTAATAGCCCAAAGCAGCTTCAAGACCGTGAACAGCAGCTCCACATTAACGACGTATGAATTAACACGTAAGTGCACGCCGCCTTCAGCAGGAGGCGCTGTGACCGTGGGGCAGGCCGGGGCCAGCGCCAGTTGGCCTCTCGGTGGACCCAGTGAAAAACAGCTTGGATTAACGCCTCTAATTTCTGGAATTTCCCCTCTCAAACGCTGTTCTCAACACACCAAAACCATCAGGGAGACAGGAAAGGAAACTTCTAGAAACTGAGGCTGGGAAGGGGTTTTCCTGACAGCGGGTCTTTGACTTTGGGACGGAAAGGAAAGTCAGGTTGAGCGAGATCTCCCGTCTGGTTCTCTGTGGCCTTTCCTTCTTCCTCTTTTTTTAACTGTGATAAAATATCCATAAAATTTACCGTCTTAGCTGTCGGGAAACATGAGGCTCAGGAGCCGTAAGCTTGCTCCCACCACGTGCGCCCGTCACCGCCAGCCTCCAGGGCTCCTTTCTCTCCCACAGTGAGACCCTGTCCCCACTGGACATCCGTCCCCCCACCCGGCCCCTGGCGCCCACCTTCCACTTTCTGTCCCTGCGTCTGAGCCCTCGGGGACACATACGAGCAAAACCACACAGCCCTTGTCCTCTTCCCCTTGGAGCTCGGTCCCTGCCGGAGCCTGCTCGAGACACTGTTCCTTCCCAAGGCTGAGCGGCGCCCCACTGCGTGCACTCAGCCCATGTTGGCCATCCGTCTGTCCTTCGCCCCTTCCCTTTGGTGGCACCACGTCACTTGTCCTTGTGTTCCTGGTCCTCAGAGGGTCTCACGGTCCAAATGTGGGGCCGAGGGGGCCCCTGATGGGACCCCCTTCCGTGCAGGGAGCCTCCCTGGACTGGAATGTGGGTAAAAAGGGGGTGCTCTCCCAGGGCTTACCAGTGCCATCCCATCACATCCCAGTAGTGCCCGGGCAGGCCTCAGGCGAGCCATTTTCTCCTCCTCCACACTGCACCCCAAACACACCCCATCGTCTGTCATCTGCCCCGCGTCCCCATCTACTGCCTGGCTCCCTGTGTGCACGTAATACGTCCCAGGCTGAGGATCAGCTCAGAGGGTTAGGTGCAGCCCGGGTTCCAGAGATGAGGCTTCCCGGCCGGACCTCGCTCCGGCCTTTTCAGTCTGGGTTCTGAAGCGAGAGAGGGGCCCCCACTATACCCCGTCCACATACGCCCTGGCTTGTCTCAGGTAACACTGAAGAGCCCCACGGTCCCGGGGTGGAGACTAACAAGCTACGGCGGTGGGTTCCGAGGCCTCAGGGCTTCGGCAAGGCTGAGGGCGGGGGAGAGGCCCCTGCTGGGCCGGGTGGACACCTCTGTGAGGCTGGGGTGGAAGGAACTTGGCGTCCTGAGGCTCCAAACCTCTGCTGACCGGCGGCTCGCTAGGAGGCACGATGCGAAGCCTGGAGCGAGTCACCACTCACTCAGGGGGTCAGACCCGCACGTTGGGCTTCAGGAAAGCCAGGCTGTGACGAAACAAGATCCACCAGCGGGAGAACCTTCCAGAATGTTTTGGCTCAAAGGTCGGCTGCTTTTGCCGCGTGCCCTGTGTAATCCTATATATGTGGCTTCACACACCCTTCTCTTCCCAGGATGTGGTTGTTAAAAAGTCCGAGGCCAATGTATTTCCTTTTTAACCACCAGGGTCTCACTCTGTCAGTTCTTACAGAGAGATTCTGGACCCAGCGGCAAAGCCCACGTCACACTCTGTCACCTCGATTCTTTCCTCCGAAGGGGGCCTTGCTGCTGCCTTTACCCTGAGTGCAAGTGGGACGGGTCACGGGGTGACCTTTAGTCCCGGGCCAGGGAAGGAGGAGGAAGGAAACGCTCGTGACGTGCCCCCGCGGCTCCCGGGTGGCACCGCCCCCTTGGTGTGGTTCTCAGGCGGGGAGATGGGCCCGGGCCCGGGCGAGCTGACCGCTGTCTCCTTTGATCCGTAGATCTGAAGAAATACCGGCGCTATGAGGTCGTCCTGACGGCCTACAACATCATCGGCGAGAGCCCGGCCAGCGCACCCGTCGAGGTCTTTGTCGGCGAGGCCGGTGAGTTCCCAGCGCCCCTGAGCTCCGAGAGGCCTGGCCTGGTGCTCTCGGGTGCCAAGCGTGATGCTGGAGGACGGGAGGTTTCCAGGTCACCGCTGGGCAAGTCGGCATCTGCCGAGGGCTGGAAAGTCCCGACGGCCGGGGTGATGCTTCCAGTCTTGCTTCCAGGCCCGGCGGTTTGTTTGGCATCTGGAGCCCTCCCGCTCACCAGGACGTGCTCCAGGGGAGACAGGCTGCGGCCTGCATGGGCATCCGGGCGTGTGGGGACCTTGGCATCTGCAGGGGATGCTTGTACTCTGTCGCCCTCGGTCCCTGGCTGGGCCTCAGCCTGACCTCGTGGCAATGGCCCCATCTCAGGCCTCGGAAAGTCACCCGGATCGTTGCTTGTACCCCTTTTAGATAAGACGTGGATCCTGAGTTTGTTTCAAGGGCTGTCCCTTCCGTAGAGGCGTCGAGTCGCGTTGAGATCGGCTCGGGCCTCCGTCCCCTGCCTCCCCTCCGGCCCGAGGGCCCTTGCCCGCTCTCCTCCTCCTCTGCTGGGGGAACCCGGCTCGGATCTGTGGGGGCAGTGAGCGGGCCGTGCTCTGGGCCGGGAACCACCAGAACTCCCCCGAGCACAGAGCCCCAGGCTCGGAGAAGGAGGTCCGGCCGCTGGGCCCGCCCACAGAAACGCATCAGGTGACCTTTCGCAATTCGGAGAGGTTACAGTCATAAACCAGATGGCAGATGGCAGATGGCAGCGCCGGGGGCCTAACTTGGCAGGCTTTTTCTGGAAAGGCCAAGCAAGGGATGAGGGAAAGAGATGCTTGAAGCACAGGTTCCACTGGCCTCTCTTCACATCTGTCCCCACGGGTTCCTCAGAGCCGACGGTGTGGGGGCTGGGCAGTCGGAGTCCGGGGCAGACGCCCCTGGCCTCCCAGGAGCACGGGCAGGGAGGGGACGAGGCCCCCGCCGCCTGTAAGCGTGGGGCTCCAGTCCTATTCTGGCACCTGGGACCACGTGGGTCACCAGGGCGGGTGGGTAGAGGGAGGGCACCGCCAGCCAGCTGGGATCGGTGGTGCCTGAACTGCCCAGGCGGGGCCGGGGCCCCTTGTCTCCCTCCCCCTCGTTGGCTCTAGCTGCACCCGAGGCCGGGGGTCGCTGGAGGCAGACAGAGCCTTAAACCCAGAGACCAGGGCGGACGTTCAGGGAAAGGACTGCGGCCAGGGAGGGAGGCGGGTGGGCGCCGGGAGCCGTGTCGGCCGGCCACGTCACCACGGGCTGGAAGCCCAGCTCCGCGCTCTGTGCCGCGGTGGCCCGTCGGCTTATCTTGGGCCGTGGTCAGCTGTACACGACGTAAACTCCGCTGTCCCAGCCGCTCAGCGGCCTGGGGCACGTTCACGATGCTGTGCCGCCCTCACCGCCGGCCGTGTGCGGAGGCCCATGTTCCCAGAGCCGAGCCCTCGCCATCCGGTGGTCCCTCCCCTCTCCTCTGTCCACCCCCCCCTCCCCGCCGCCACCCCCACTGAAGCCTGTCTCGCCCGTTCGGAGTGTCTGATTCGGGTGGAATCAATCCCACGATGTTTGTGCTCCTGTGCCTGGCTTCTTACACTGAACGCGTTTTCGAGTTTCGTAGCACATCTCAGCACCTCGTTCCTTCTCGTGGCCGTCGAGTATCCCGCTGTGCGCACACGCGTTTTCTCTCTCTGCATCCGCTGACGCACACTTGGGTTGTCGCCGCCGTTTGGGTTTTGGGAGAAGAGCCGCTGTGCATAATGGCGCACGGGGATTTTCCAGCGGCACTGAGCTGACGCCGAGCCCCGGTGGGCAGGAGGCCGCAGGCGGGGCCCGGGCCCCTTATCTCGCTCCCCTCTCCGGGAGGGGTCCCTGCCCCGGCTCTTCCCTCCAGGCCAGTCCTGCCGCCCCCCTCACCCCTCACGCACCTGCGCCCCATGCTGTTTCCCCACCTCGCCCGACCTCAGCCTCCTGGACCCGTCACCCCCAGGAAAGGGAGGCTCTAGCCACCGAGCCCGGGCTCCAGGGCCATCTGGCCCCACGCACACGCTCTGGAGAGCCAGCTGTCTTGCCAAGGGCACTTGCGGGAGGTACCAAGAAGGGCTTTAAAGCCCCCAAGCGGACTTGTATGCAGTGTGTGCAGCACTGCTCCCCCGGAGCCCTGGATTCCTCCCCCTGCCGCCCAGGACCCTGCTCCAGCGGCTTCTTCTCCAGAAAGCTCTCCGACACCCCCGCAGGAGGAGTTCCACGTTTCTCCCTCTGTGCCCAGGTCCTTGGGAGCTCGGTGAATACCTCTGCCTTCCCTTGTCAGACGGGACTGGCCTGGCTTCCTCTTCACGGGACCACGACCACATGTCTCAAGATGCTCCTCGTCCTGAGCTTAGGACCAAAGGGGACCTGAACGCCTTTACTGTCCTGCGAACAGAGGCCCCCAAACTCCCATGAGGATGAGGCAGGAGAGCAACTTCAGGGACTCCTGGCACCGGGAGGCGCCCACATCAGCTGCCATGAAGTGGATGGAATTCGTGTCTCAGGGCGGGCGGGAGTAAGTGGGGGGCAGGCTAATCCGTGATGCCTCATCCTGAAGCAAAGCGACGAGTGACGGTGGCATCTGCCCCTGACTGCCGTGACCCCCGTACCCTTGCTGCCCGAGGCACCCTCGTGAGGCCATGCTTCTCCACGGAGCGCTCTTCCTGACACAGGGGAGGGGAGGGCAGCGAGACAGGGTGCAGGAGTGAACCCTTGGGAAGTGGGCAGCCAGGGTGCTGGGAGGCCACCCCTTCCCTCCCCCGGGCAGACAGCGGGGACAGGGACCAGACGAGCCTGCTAAGTGCCAAGGTCCAGGCTCTGTGCCGGAGGATCCCCCTCAGAGCCACACGTGAAAACCCCCAGGCACGTGGCCCCACAGGTCTGCTCTCCCCGCACGACCTCAGATGGGTGACGGGAGGGAGGGAGGTTGTGTGTTTGCTGCTTCCACCATCATGTGGGTTCCAGCCTCCCGAGGACACAACACAGAGGCAGAGAGGGCGGGCGGACACCAGGAGAGGGGGTGCCGTGCACCCCCGAGGAGAAAGGGTGAGACTTGCCTGTCTGTGTCGGAGGGAAACGGACACTGACCAGGGTCTGGGCCCTAAGGCTCGGGACTCGGGAAGGAGCAGGACCACGGCCCCAGGTGATGAAATGGGAGGGCGTTTGGTATTTCGGTGGAGAAGACAGGGAAGCAGGCTTCTCGGTGCTCGTGTTAGCTGCCCTGGGGCCGCAGGGGAGTCCGTCCCTTGTACCTGGCTGTGTGACCACGGGCAAGTCACTTAACCACTCTGGGCCCAGCCTTGAGGTATCACGGAGCAGAGGGGAACGCTGTGAGCTAAGACTAAGGCGACTTGGGTCCTCATGCCGGTTCTGCCCCTGACTCGTCTGTCCCGCCCACAGGATGAATGTGCGAAATGTGACAGGGTGGGTCAGTATTTGTGAACAGATGATTGAGACCCTGGGTCAGACACTCGACTTGCCGGGCCTCATCTGCAAAGCAAGGTGTTTTGAGTCAAAAGTCTCAGTCTAGCCCAAATGTATAATATTCAAGTCTGTTTCATTTCACGGAGACAAGGTGATTTTGAGGAAATTTCTCGTTGAGATTGATTTCTGAGTCTGGGCATTACAAATCGATAAAGATAATACATCAGCAGGGACTCCAGTTTGCAGGAGATAAAAACTCAAGGCATACAGGCTTAAGCTGAAAGAATCATTTATTAACTCACGTTAACAGAAAACAGCTGAAGAGCCCGGATACGGGTTCAGGCATGGCTGGATCCAGCATCCTAACAAGCTGGAATGCTGTCCCCTGTTGGTTCCACTCTCCTGTTTGCTCCTGTCTTGGGCAGGCTTCTCATCTCAGTGGCTCTGCAGCTCCAGGCAGCAGGAAGGGAGTTTGCCTTCAACAGCACCCACAGGGGAAACCCACTGGCTCTCCCGAGCCTGCCTTTATGACCCATCTGCATACCAGACGCTGTGGCCAATGGCCTGAGGTCCGCAAAGCCGGCGATGTCATCTGTACCTGAAGCACAGGGACCGAAGGGGAGGGAGGATCCCCAGGGGAATGGGTGCTCACTGTAGCAGGATGCATAGCACTGGTGGCAGAGTTTGCCAAGCGGCCAGAACTCTCCCTGGGAGAGGTGCAGAGCCCTGTCTGGGGATGCCGTGGCATGGCTGCTGTTCCCGTCGTCCCTAGTAGAATCTCCAGGCCCCTCTCTGTGTCCTCAGTTCCGGAAAGGAGCCCACATCCTGGCCTCCGAGACACGTGGCACTCAAGGATGGGCCCCCACTTGCAGGATCAGGCTGCCCTCCTGCCCTGGGCCAGGGCCGGGCACATGAGCCCCTGCCTGTATTTCCAGGCCTCCCAGGCCACTCTCCCCTGGAGCAAACACCAGCTCTGCCTCCCAGAATCCCTGCTCTCGCCTCCCATCCCCGGGAAGACCCCAGCCTTCCTACAGCCCGGGCTCGGGGCTTGCACCTCGGGGGAGTAGCTGCCTCCCCGTCTCTGCGGGCAGACCCCGTGTTCCCCACCCTGTCCCAGAACATGCTGCACACTACAGCCTCCTGCACCTCCCGTCTGCGTTGTGTCTGTGCACCCCACGGAGCAGAGAACCCGTCCGATTCACCCCAACGTCCTCAGGACTCTGCCTGGAACACAGCAGTACTCTGGAGCACTGTGGGCAGGCGGGGGTGGGGGT